TGAACGCCATTTTCCATATTTTTGAATGCCGCAGATCACGGATTCAGTTAGCTATTCCTAGGGATGAATATTAGTCTAACAAACACCGATTCGTGCGGGAAATTTGCGGTGGGGCCATTTTGGCAGATCCCAAAGGGTACCATCACGATTTTCGGGGCGATTTCGGAATGGCCATTTGCTTGGATTTTGAAGGCGAGGATCACAGATTCGGCCCTAGGGCACTCTCCACCAATGATGAAGTCTAGTAATGGCCGATTTGCGCGGAAATTTGGTCGAATTTTTACGGATGGCATTTTCGTAATTTTTAGGCGATTTTTTCGAACGGCCATTTTCCATAGATTTGAAGGCCGCAGATCACGGATTCAGCCTTAGGGTATCCCTAGGGATGAATAAGTCTATCAAACAGCGATTCGGGCAGAAAATTGCCGGGCCAATTTTTTGCCAGATCCCAAAGGGGTACCATCACCGATTTCGGGCGATTTCTGGAATGGCATTTTCCTTGGATTTTGAAGGCGAGGGATCACAGATTCGGCCCTAGGGCACTCTCACCAATGATGAAGTCTAGTAATGGCCGATTTGCGCGGAAATTTGGTCGAATTTTACGGATGGCATTTTCGTAATTTTTAGGCGATTTTTTCGAACGGCCATTTTCCATAGATTTTGAAGGCCGCAGATCACGGATTCAGCCTTAGGGTATTCCCTAGGGATGAATAAGTCTAACAAACACCGATTCGGGCGGAAAATTTGCGGGGCCATTTTTGGCAGATCCCAAAGGGGTACCATCACCGATTTCGGGCGATTTCTGGAATGGCCATTTTCCTTGGATTTTGAAGGCGAGGGATCACAGATTCGGCCCTAGGGCACTCCACCAATGATGAAGTCTAGTAATGGCCGATTTGCGCGGAAATTTGGTCGAATTTTTTACGGATGGCATTTTCGTAATTTTTAGGGCGATTTTTCGAACGGCCATTTTCCATGAGATTTGAAAGGCCGCAGATCACGGATTCAGCCTTAGGGTATTCCTAGGGATGAATAAGTCTAACAAACACCGATTCGGGCGGAAAATTTGCGGGGCCATTTTTGGCAGATCCCAAAGGGGTACCATCACCGATTTCGGGCGATTTCTGGAATGGCCATTTTGCTTGGATTTTGAAGGCGAGGGATCACAGATTCCGGCCCTAGGGCACTCTCCACCAATGATGAAGTCTAGTAATGGCCGATTTGCGCGGAAATTTGGTCGAATTTTTAACGGATGGCATTTTCGTAATTTTTAGGCGATTTTTTCGAACGGCCATTTTCCATAGATTTTGAAGGCCGCAGATCACGGATTCAGCCTTAGGGTATTCCCTAGGGATGAATAAGTCTACAAACACCGATTCGGGCGGAAAATTTGCGGGGCCATTTTGGCAGATCCCAAAGGGGTACCATCACCGATTTCGGGCGATTTCTGGAATGGCCATTTTGCTTGGATTTTGAAGGCGAGGGATCACAGATTCGGCCCTAGGGCACTCTCCACCAATGATGAAGTCTAGTAATGGCCGATTTGCGCGGAAATTTGGTCGAATTTTTACGGATGGCATTTTCGTAATTTTTAGGCGATTTTTTCGAACGGCCATTTTCCATAGATTTTGAAGGCCGCAGATCAACAGGATTCAGCCTTAGGGTATTCCCTAGGGATGAATAAGTCTAACAAACACCGATTCGGGGCGGAAAATTTGCGGGGCCATTTTTGGCAGATCCCAAAGGGGTACCATCACCGATTTCGGGCGATTTCTGGAATGGCCATTTTGCTTGGATTTTGAAGGCGAGGGATCACAGATTCGGCCCTAGGGCACTCTCCACCAATGATGAAGTCTAGTAATGGCCGATTTGCGCGGAAATTTGGTCGAATTTTTACGGATGGCATTTTCGTAATTTTTAGGGCGATTTTTTCGAACGGCCATTTTCCATAGATTTTGAAGGCCGCAGATCACGGATTCAGCCTTAGGGTATTCCCTAGGGATGAATAAGTCTAACAAACACCGATTCGGGCGGAAAATTTGCGGGGCCATTTTTGGCAGATCCCAAAGGGGTACCATCACCGATTTCGGGCGATTTCTGGAATGGCCATTTTGCTTGGATTTTGAAGGCGAGGGATCACAGATTCGGCCCTAGGGCACTCTCCACCAATGATGAAGTCTAGTAATGGCCGATTTGCGCGGAAATTTGGTCGAATTTTTACGGATGGCATTTTCGTAATTTTTAGGCGATTTTTCGAACGGTCCATTTTCCATAGATTTTGAAGGCCGCAGATCACGGATTCAGCCTTAGGGTATTCCCTAGGGATGAATAAGTCTAACAAACACCGATTCGGGCGGAAAATTTGCGGGGCCATTTTTGGCAGATCCCAAAGGGGTACCATCACCGATTTCGGGCGATTTCTGGAATGGCCATTTTGCTTGGATTTTGAAGGCGAGGGATCACAGATTCGGCCCTAGGGCACTCTCCACCAATGATGAGTCTAGTAATGGCCGATTTGCGCGGAAATTTGGTCGAATTTTACGGATGGCATTTTCGTAATTTTTAGGCGATTTTTTCGAACGGCCATTTTCCATAGATTTTGAAGGCCGCAGATCACGGATTCAGCCTTAGGGTATTCCCTAGGGATGAATAAGTCTAACAAACACCGATTCGGGCGGAAAATTTGCGGGGCCATTTTTGGCAGATCCCAAAGGGGTACCATCACCGATTTCGGGCGATTTCTGGAATGGCCATTTTGCTTGGATTTTGAAGGCGAGGGATCACAGATTCGGCCCTAGGGCACTCTCCACCAATGATGAAGTCTAGTAATGGCCGATTTGCGCGGAAATTTGGTCGAATTTTACGGATGGCATTTTCGTAATTTTTAGGCGATTTTTTCGAACGGCCATTTTCCATAGATTTTGAAGGCCGCAGATCACGGATTCAGCCTTAGGGTATTCCCTAGGGATGAATAAGTCTAACAAACACCGATTCGGGCGGAAAATTTGCGGGGCCATTTTTGGCAGATCCCAAAGGGGTACCATCACCGATTTCGGGCGATTTCTGGAATGGCCATTTTGCCTTGGATTTTGAAGGCGAGGGATCACAGATTCGGCCCTAGGGCACTCTCCACCAATGATGAAGTCTAGTAATGGCCGATTTGCGCGGAAATTTGGTCGAATTTTTACGGATGGCATTTTCGTAATTTTTAGGCGATTTTTTCGAACGGCCATTTTCCATAGATTTTGAAGGCCGCAGATCACGGATTCAGCCTTAGGGTATTCCCTAGGGATGAATAAGTCTAACAAACACCGATTCGGGCGGAAAATTTGCGGGGCCATTTTTGGCAGATCCCAAAGGGGTACCATCACCGATTTCGGGCGATTTCTGGAATGGCCATTTTGCCTTGGATTTTGAAGGCGAGGGATCACAGATTCGGCCCTAGGGCACTCTCCACCAATGATGAAGTCTAGTAATGGCCGATTTGCGCGGAAATTTGGTCGAATTTTACGGATGGCATTTTCGTAATTTTTAGGCGATTTTTTCGAACGGCCATTTTCCATAGATTTTGAAGGCCGCAGATCACGGATTCAGCCTTAGGGTATTCCCTAGGGATGAATAAGTCTAACAAACACCGATTCGGGCGGAAAATTTGCGGGGCCATTTTTGGCAGATCCCAAAGGGGTACCATCACCGATTTCGGGCGATTTCTGGAATGGCCATTTTGCTTGGATTTTGAAGGCGAGGGATCACAGATTCGGCCCTAGGGCACTCTCCACCAATGATGAAGTCTAGTAATGGCCGATTTGCGCGGAAATTTGGTCGAATTTTTACGGATGGCATTTTCGTAATTTTTAGGCGATTTTTTCGAACGGCCATTTTCCATAGATTTTGAAGGCCGCAGATCACGGATTCAGCCTTAGGGTATTCCCTAGGGATGAATAAGTCTAACAAACACCGATTCGGGCGGAAAATTTGCGGGGCCATTTTTGGCAGATCCCAAAGGGGTACCATCACCGATTTCGGGCGATTTCTGGAATGGCCATTTTGCTTGGATTTTGAAGGCGAGGGATCACAGATTCGGCCCTAGGGCACTCTCCACCAATGATGAAGTCTAGTAATGGCCGATTTGCGCGGAAATTTGGTCGAATTTTTACGGATGGCATTTTCGTAATTTTTAGGCGATTTTTTCGAACGGCCATTTTCCATAGATTTTGAAGGCCGCAGATCACGGATTCAGCCTTAGGGTATTCCCTAGGGATGAATAAGTCTAACAAACACCGATTCGGGCGGAAAATTTGCGGGGCCATTTTTGGCAGATCCCAAAGGGGTACCATCACCGATTTCGGGCGATTTCTGGAATGGCCATTTTGCTTGGATTTTGAAGGCGAGGGATCACAGATTCGGCCCTAGGGCACTCTCCACCAATGATGAAGTCTAGTAATGGCCGATTTGCGCGGAAATTTGGTCGAATTTTTACGGATGGCATTTTCGTAATTTTTAGGCGATTTTTTCGAACGGCCATTTTCCATAGATTTTGAAGGCCGCAGATCACGGATTCAGCCTTAGGGTATTCCCTAGGGATGAATAAGTCTAACAAACACCGATTCGGGCGGAAAATTTGCGGGGCCATTTTGGCAGATCCCAAAGGGGTACCATCACCGATTTCGGGCGATTTCTGGAATGGCCATTTTGCTTGGATTTTGAAGGCGAGGGATCACAGATTCGGCCCTAGGGCACTCTCCACCAATGATGAAGTCTAGTAATGGCCGATTTGCGCGGAAATTTGGTCGAATTTTTACGGATGGCATTTTCGTAATTTTTAGG